AAAAATTCTTCAATTCGGTATTATACAGACTAAGTGATAAGTTTCTGGTCCTTTATTGAAGGAGACTCCTGCATAAGAGACATAATCAAAAGATTTGAATGAGACAAAAAACATGAGCAGGAAAGATATCAGAGGATGGAACTGATTTCTTTAATACGTCTCCTGGTCTTTATCATATAACAGGAGAATATGTTGACAAGCATAAGTAGATGAGGAGGATATTGTTTCACTATTGAGTTTGTTGTTCTCTATTTACTGCCAGTAATATTTATGTCTTGATGATTATAGTGAATTAAATAGGAGTAGGTAATTTATACAAAGGAGCAGTTTGGACCTTCAAAGAAAGAACTGTCCTCCATCAAACATTAACATGTTTTGGCCACAAAACTCACTGTCAATCCACTTAACAATATATCCTGTGAAATGCTTTGAGACATCTCAATGACGTGATAACAACAAATTACATTTGAAAAGCGCCTTTCACATCAGAAGAATAAGGCGCTGTCAAAGCAAGGATTATTTGTTTTATATTATAAAAGTTTTTAACCAACCAGTGTCTACTCTTAACGCTTTTAAAAAAAAGCTATTTTCACGCTTAACAGGGTTCCTTACCTACGCGAATTTGCTAATTATGCAGGTCTCAGTCTAGTGTGAATTACTGTATATAGCTTTTTTCAAAATAGTTATGTGCAGTTAAAGGAATATTGTAGAATTAGTGAGGACATTGTGGTCATATAAGCTTTGATGGGGTAGGGGTGAGGAAGGTCTGATCTTGAACTTTATTGTGAAAGGGGAGTTTAAGCATGGAGCCAAAGGTTTGTTGGGGAAGGAGGGGATTTGGAGTAGATATCTAGCCAATCCTAGAATGGGAGAAAGAGAGAAAGAAACAGTTCTGGAGGTTTTGTTATGGTAGGAAAAGAAGACATTTTTGATAACCATTTTTATACCTGAATTCAAAATGTTCCACAACTACGTTTTAAAGTCACATTATTATTCACAATCAATAGCAAGTTCTTCAGCTACCTAGATAATTTTTGTTTCTAAGATATCAGTGAGACATTCATAGAGTTCAATAGCAGTGGTATTTAGCTACCTTTAATAATACTTTATTAAATGATTCATTAAACTATTAAATAATAATAATTCAATAAATCTAATGAATAATAAAAATATTGCATTTCATCACAAAATATACAGTCAATTCACTTTGCAATATATTCTGGAAGCACTTTGAGACATCTCAACATCATGATATAGAGCTATATCAAATGCAAGGATTATTCTTATGAGACTGAAGCCTGGTTAATAATAAGAATGTTTATACAATTTATCTCATAAATAAATGCAATATTTTGCGACGGCTGTCTGCACTTTCAATAAACCTGGCAGCATCTTAGCAATAATTCTTTTCTTTTGAACTTTAAAACACTTTTAGGAAATTAAATCCAACAAAGACAAGGTTAGGAACAGGCCATTTGAGCTTACTGTGTTTGTTTAAGGGCATATACAAGATCCACTCAGTGCCATTCCAATTCCCAGCCTGACCCCTGTTAAAAAATGCCTTGCAACTTTTTGTGCCTTGCTGATCTGGAAATCTGGCCATTTCTTTCCAGAAAGCTTCATTTCCTTTTAATTTCTTTGTTAGTTTAACAAAAAACACTAACCAATGCCAAAACCTGCCTGCAAGTCAAGTTAATAATAACAATCCTTGCATTTGATGTCCAGCTATTGAAGGAGAGACTGAATTTACCCTCCTTCTCATTTCAAAAATACATGGGCTTTGTTTGGTGCATAATAATCGCCTTCAATTAACTTTACAGCATATTCTGTGAAGCTCTTTGAGACATCTAGAAGACATGAAAAGCGCTATATCAAATGCAAGGATTATTATTATTATATTGTGCCTTATCAAGTCTCAAAGCTCTTCACAGAGCTGTGTGTATGAATGAGGTTGGAAAACAAACTATTTGGAGGAATTGTGCCCAAAGAACATAGCCTAAATGTATTATGTTACAAAATGTTGGTGCATTAATCCACTTTCATTGTGATAGCATTTGTATTTTATAAAGCCATGGAAAGCAAAACAGTTTCCTTGTTTTTATTTCAAAAGGCATGGAATACAAAATTAAAGAGGTAACGTTGAATATGTACAGATCCTTATTAAAGCAACAAGTGGAATATTCTGTTTAGTTTAATGGGTTATTATTATTATAATTATTAGAAAGATATAAAACAATGGAAAAGGTTTTCACCAGAGCTTAGAAGATTAGTGGATAAAGAATTTCAAGATTAAGAATTGTTGTGATAGGCTAAATAATCGTAGATATGCCACGTTTCAGTGATGAGAGGACACATATTTAACAACTTGAATTTATATAGCACTGTTCACATAGGATAATGTCTTAAAGTACTTCACAATGAAGTACAATGATTTAAGATCATCACAAAAAGAATTAAAGGGAAATTTAAGGTTGGAAAAAATCTTTGCAATTTGCCACCAATCACTGATAAGACAAAGCCTATGCATTCTTTTAAAAAGAGACTTAGATAGATGATTGAAAAATAGGAATATTAATGGAGTATGGAGAGTGAATAGGAGAATAGGAATGTATTGAATGGTTTATATGGAGAAAGCAGTGTAGACGGTGCAAATGATTTGTTTCTGTGCTGCAATAGTTTAAAATTTTAAACTTATTTTGGGTGATTTCCAGTGACTTTTGGAATCTCAAATGCCATGCACCATTTCTTGTCAAAGAGGACAGACAGGCAATTTCCTTTTAAGCTTCTCTTCTGGTTAATAGGAGGTGAGCACATTTTGCAAAGCTTATCTTATGGATCCAAACCAGCTTCTCTTTTAAAGTAATGCCTGGCATATATATATGTACATTTGTCACAACAGTATTGCAAAATATTAAGAATTATGTTATCTTGCAAAGTTAATTATTGAGGGATGCTAATATGGAGAGAATGGAAGATGTTCCCATTTTTTCCCAATTCAGAATTGGGCACTGCTGGGTCTATGAATAATACAATTGAGATGAAAAGTGAAGCTTCTAAGCAGTCTGAATCCTAATCTTTCAAGGGTACCCATAAGGTGCACCATCGTGACATTTTAAATTCTGTACATCGGCTCCCTTTCTGATGTTTTTCAGAGACTGATATCTTTGTGCTAATTAATGCCAAATTGTGTACAGTTTGTTGCTATGGGCTCACATTGACATTTCATGTTGAATCCTTGCAGACATTAGAGAGAACGACATTTCATCCCATTGTTCTGGGCTGGATTTGAACCCTACTGTAGACGTTAAAAGACAGTACTGCAAACTAATATGCTACCCAAGGACATTTTTTTCATGAAAATTAACCTTAAATCCAAAAATATTCTTTCATTTCAGTCAGTAAGTCCAAAGAGTTCAAGTTAAAAATACTTTCTGTTATGTACATTTGCATTAGGGCACAGCATTGGATTATGTTAGCACACTGCAATCATTTCTCATTCCAGGTCACTCCATTCCAGACTGCGTAAGTGGTATACATACATGGAGATCTCAGTCTGGTTTGAATACTTTCAAAAATAGTGATAAATTTCCACATGTGTCAGACACTTGGTTCAACCAAAAAAAGGTAAACTCCAGCCCCAACTCCCTGTAAATGTCCTTTTGGGTACAGGGGGCAGAAGAGGAGGCAGTGGTCATCTGCCTCACCCCTTCACACTTCCAATGAGTAAAGGCTTTGGGGAGACCTGCTAAAAGTTTTTGATTTTATGAGGGGTTTTGCTAATACTGGTCATGAGCCATTGACTGGGGTACATAAATTTAAGACATTTATCAAAAGAGCAAAGGAAAAGGTTAGGTTTTTTTTTACACAGAGGGTTGTAAGGATTTGGAATGCCTGAATTAAAATAGCAGCTTCATATTAATCAGAATCCATATTAATTTTTCTGAGGGAATAAGATAATATCTAAAAAGGAGAAATATGATGCGATATGCCGAAAAAGCCAGAGAATTGGACGAAATAGCTCTTTCAGAGAGTTATCACAAACATAACGGGCCAAATGGCCTCATTTTGTGTTGAATATTTTTTACCAGTTATATGGTTCTGTCTGAGCTATAAGTGCCTGGTGCAGTTATTTGGTGTTATAATTTTTTTGCAGTTAAAAAACTGAAGACTGAAAGGCCTCAATCTATTAATTCCTCTTAGTCAGTTCATTCACTGTGAAACATTACTAGGACTGTATGTTTTAATGTTTGATACGCACTTTTAAATGAACTGTCAAGTGGACCTTGGCACGTTATGCACGTGAAGTTGCCAATGATGACGCTTCGCGAAGGAAGTGACATTAGCGGCGCTTCTTGTACACAGCATTCTAGAGTGTGACATGAAGGAAGTAACACGAGTGGGTGACCTGATGAGCCTGAGCCCGGCTATTATATAACTATGCTGTAAAATTCTTTCCTGATAGTTCATTCTCTCACGAACTGAAGGCCAGGATATAAATGCTTGTTATTCTACTGCTAGTACAGTGTCATTTAGAATAGGGGGTTTTATGACCATGAAGCAGGCAGGGTTCTACACCGGTTAGTTAGGGTGACCAGTGCTTAGGAAGTGCATTTGTTGCAACAACAACAACTTGCATTTATATAGCAACAACAACAACAAAATTACATTTGTTTAGCGCCTTTCACGCAGGCTCCTGGAGTGCTTGACAGTAGCGGAGTCTGACCCCGAGCCAAGGGGAGAGGGAATGGGGAGGTGCCCGTAAGCACGATCAAAAAGGAAGGTCTTTAGGTGGGATTTGAAAGTGGGGAGGGAGGGGGCAAGGCAGAGGGATTGAAGGAGAGTGTTCCAAAGTTTCGGGACGTAGTGGCTGAAGGCATGGCCACCGATGATAATGTGGAGGGGACAAGGGATAAACAGGAGGTTGGATCTAGCCTGTTAAAAGCTTCATTGACATTTAATTAGTGGCTGTCTAATGTTGATTAAGCTCAATTTTCCCTTAGGAATTGCGCAGAAATGCACATCTGTCAAGTATCACTTCTCCCAACCCATCCGTCTAAGAAATATTCCTTTCAATCTTACAAAAACTATCCAGCAGGATGAATGGCATCTGTTACGTAAGTATAATGGTGCTTTATCAAGATTTCTTTTTGACTACTGCTACCTGTTTTATCCTCTGTCTGTAGCTGCAAACATGTAATAGTTTAGGACCAGAGATGTTTTCATGACTACTATATCAGTGCTGCTCTGCGATTGTCAGCAGGAGGTATCTTTCAAGCAGAGCAAGACATATAGTGTCATTATAATTTCTCCTCTCTGCAAAAAAATCAACCCCTCCATTCTGCATGCTATTCTGCCAAAGGAAGTCATTCAATTCAAGGTTTGCATTTTCTAGATGGAGGTCAAGAGCTCAATATTTTTAGCTACCATTCCTGTTATTTTCTTACTTCTCTCCATTTTGTGTATTGGTGTGGGTTGATATGTGTTATAATTGTATCTCCATCTCTTTCAATAATTACCTTGCCATATATAAGGGCAACTTGTTGTTGTTTGCCCTCTAACGCCCTTATAGAACATCTGCAATTGGGAGCTCACCTTATGGGGAATTAGAATAAAGAGCCTGAGTTCTACGATTACACGATGGGGGCAGATTAGTACTAAGGTAATTCCAAACGTTATTGAAATATAAACAAACTTCTTGAGATTGCAATTGATAGAATGTGTTTATCACAGTGTTGAAGTGCTACAGAAAGTGGATACTTTTAATGGCTTTTCCAAAATGACTAAGAATTTTCCTATTTTATCTACTCAGATTTGAGGAGGATCACTGCTGGTTTTCTGGGCATGGCTGCTGCTGTTCTGCTCTGTGGGTGCATTGTGGCTTCAATCAGCTTTTTCTGGGAAGAAAGTCTCACTCAGCATGTGGCAGGTCTCCTATTCCTAATGGCAGGTCATTTTCCAACACTTCTTTACATGTCTTTACAAGAGATACAATAGCAGTGATTTTCTTTACATTTTTGCTACTTTCAGATTATAGGCAAACAAATATTACTTCTGCAGTTGTGTTATACGAATACTTTTCAGCTATGAGAGTTTTATAAAAAATAATTACGTTCATGAAAGTATCGCTATAAATGTTGAGTTGAGTACACTTTGAAGATACAGCTGAAATTTGGAGATAAAAATTCAACTAGTATTTATATATTTTAGTCAAAAAACAAGACTTATTGGGGTCTAGTTTGCAGTATTTCTAATGGAATTCCATAATAAAGAATAAGAGCCAAGCAAATGGGTTACTGGAAGTACATCCTGCAAGTTGATGGAAATAGGACCTATGAAAATGTCTGTGTGCGTAAATTCTTATTGTCACTAGCATCTAGCAATCCCTGCTACACAATTATGTATGAGGACATTGTTTAAAGATGGTTAAATACCACCTTGCACTCACTGACCAAGCTGACAAATGAAAAATAGCCACTTGGGAAACATACTATTGGGCAATATACTGATAGTGCCAACGGAGCCAAAGTTACTCAGGGTTTCAATGCCTTCAGGAGAGAATCAGAGAGAATATTGGGGCTCTATAACCTCATTCTATAGCCTTGTTCAAACAGTGTGATTCCAGGTTTGACTGATTGCAAGCAGATCTGACTTCTTGGATGATAATCCTGCTAAATCAAACTCTTAATTCCCAATAACAAATTCAATTGTTGGGAGTCCCAAAGCTGCATGCTGTTCCAGATTGCTTTCCTTGGTTGGATGAGTTTTTGACTCTCTCAGCTGGGCAGCAAGATGGAGTATCAAGTGAAGCTGGTGGGAGGGCGATCAGAAAAAGGTAACTGTAATTAGATTGAACCATGCTTCCTGTCATCTAATACAAGAGTGCTTTTGACAGCAGTAACGGAGAAAGCTATGGCACAGATTTGGCACACTCTCCCAGGTGAATTGGGTGGATGATGGAGAGCAGCATTCTTGAAGAGGAAAATGTATTTGCGTATGTGTTCCCACACATAACATACATAGAATCTACAGCAACAAAAGAGACCATTCATCACAACTATTCCGTGCCAGTATTTATAATCTATGTGAGCCTCCACCCATTCCTAATCCCCCTCCCAAGCGTTCCTCTATACCCGCTATTTCCTTCTCTCTCAAGTGCACATTGCTTCCTCTAAAATACATTGATGCTCTCCGACTCAACCACAGCTTCTGGCAATGAGTTCCACATTCAAATCTAAATATGTATTTGGGCTACAGTATAAAGCAAAAAGCAATATTCATATATAAAACTGAATAAGTGAAATCATTTGATTTTTTAATGTTTCCTATCAATTATAAAAAGTGCATACATTTGTTGAACCCACCACTGCAAATTTGTATTCATAAATTTTGTTTGTGTTTCTATTCATAAAAAAAATCATAATTCATGATTAACATTTGTCAACAATTGTGAGTTTTCTGTTATTTGCTCATATAATAACAATGACTTGCATTACGTTGCACCCCTCACACCGGGCAACGTCCTAGATCGCTTGATATATGACACATATAAGGTATGTCAACCTAAAGTTAGCTTTCTGTAATTTGTAACAGATTGTTTCTGGGCTGCTGATTCTTTAAAAAGGAAAAGCTTTCATTGAACTCATTTTTCGTCTATGTTATTTTGTCATAGATTTGTCCCACTGGGTTCTTGTTGAAAAATATGTTGCTTTCTTAGCTGTTAATCATGTGTTTCAGATATAATTAACTGTAGATTCTTTGTGTTTTCAGGAATTTTTTGCACAATTTCTCTTTGCACATTTGCGGCGAGCATTTCCTACGACCTGTCACGCCAACCCAAATTTATCTATGCACTGCCAATTGATGTTGACCATGGGTACAGTTGGTCCATTTTCTGTGCGTGGTGCAGTTTGGGATTAACAATGGTTGCAGGCTGTTTGTGCACCGCCTTTCCATTCCTCAGAAGAACCAAGATCATCCAACAAAAGTCTGCCAGAGACTCCTCTGTGTGAGTGTGTCCTGATGAAATACCGTTTACGTTTATGAGTTGACCACTGCTTCTCAAGCCTGACCTTGTGGTTTTGAGGGCCATGTACAAATATTACATGTATTTCTCCTTAACCTGCACTTGTATTTCTCCTTAAATTCTGAAAAGTTATTTCGACGGCAAAGTTTTCCTAAAGGTGCAATGTCTGTTTGAATGAACTGTAGGGAACAATGCAAAACTATCAAACAGAGAGAAAGTATGCTGTTAAGTAATGTATTAATGAATGTGTTCTCCTTAAAATTAAAACTATTTTATTATTGACCACTGCAGTCTTCCTGTTTTGACATTCTAGGTGAAATGATTTCAAATTGTTGCTCCTGTGGTCTTAGCTGCCTTTAGGATTTTTATTGCGTCACTGTGTATTCAAAAAGGAACTGGAAATATTTTGCTGGGACCAGGCTTAAAATATCTGTTGTATTCTAATTTCTCCGTATTATTACTAAGAGAATATTGCATTATTTTTCTCCTCACAAGAGACATTTAATTTAAACCTGTCAGGTCCAGTATCAATATGCACTTTTACATTCAAAATGTCACCTTAATCAATCTGTGTTGGCTATTTTACTAAGTAATGGCTTTTGTAGGCATATCAGATTGACATAGTGAGTAGCGTATTCTGAAAATACTTTGTGGTCATTTGTTCAGTTCCGTCATGTGACTGCAAGATGTGATTAACTGCTACAGTGCAACTTTTCCATCAATGTGTTACTCTGTCTTCTATCTTTATTCTTTGTTTAAACATGCAGCTTTTCTTTAATAACCCTTGCATTTGATCTGGCGCCTCATCACATCATTGTGGAGTCCTGTAGCTCAGTGGTTAGAGCACTCGCTTTACAAGCGAGAGACCTGAGTTCAATTCCAGGCAGGTCGAAACCTTGGGCAAGTTTCCTTACTCCACACAGCGCCTAATAATAATCCCTCCAAAACCCAAAACAATAATAAATTGGTCATTTTCAATCTACGACTGTTTGTGGGACACTGCTGTGAGCAATTGGCTGCTGCGTTCGCCCACAAATATACAGTCAATTCACTTTACAGTGTGTTCTGTGAAGCGCTTTGGGACGGTCTCCCGATGTGAAAAGTGCTATATCAAATGCAAGGATTATTATTATTATTATTATTCAGATGTCTCAGCGCTTCATAGGATTTTATTGTAAACTGTGGTGACGTTTTATTTTGTAAGCAAATGCCTATTTGATAGTCAAATAAAGAACTTACAACAGATTTGCAGATACCAGCCAAGGATGTTGTATATAGATAATATATACATAGATGATGTACAAAGATACTGTATGTAGTTACTTTGTGTAGATATTGTAAGCAGATACTCCCTGTAGGTGGATATGTTTTCATACATTGTTAGCTAATTACCATATTTTTGGAAAATTTATGCCAACAAATCTGTTACCAAAACCTTTTCCTTCAATAAATATACCCAGCAGCAAAGTTATTTCTTCTTTCGCTAATCATGGATTGTTTTGTGTTGTTCAGTAAGTAACTATTTAACTGAATATGAAGCTATCACCATGAATATGCAATTCACAGCATTAATATTTAGTGAATGAGATTTCTTACATAAAATAAACCTCAAATTGACAATCACTAACAAATGCAACCAAATAGCACTGTACTTACTGCAAATATGTCATAAATAGGAGCTGTGCATGTCTCAATGTAATAACACATACAAGGCTTTTGAGCAAAATAGCATATGTTGTTCTAACAGAACTGCATAACAATTCCATAATTTACTCACGTAAAAGGCTATTCATAAATTTTTTTAAAGTGTAATTTATACTGTTAAAACTACTTGTGTCACTACTTCAAATGAGACAATTTAAGTGAAAATTATGTTTTAAGTCATAAGGCTGCAAGAGGTTGGGGTGAAGAAGGCTCTTCAGCCTATTTGATTTAATCCATTCAGAATATCCACCCTAACGTCCTCCCATCACAGCATTAAGCTGCTTTTCTAATGAATCCAGTGTCCTGGCCTAAACCACGTTTCCTGGCAATCTGGTCCGGTTGTTCATTACTGTCTGAGTAAAGAAGGGTTGAAGCACACTGCTTGACTCAGATGTTAGGACCTAAGGCACTATTATTTTGGGAAAACTGGCTCGAGTCAATGTGGGAAAAGGCCATTTTAAGCTGAGGTAAGCCACATTGATCACACACAACTTTGAAACACTATGTCAATGTGATTGAGGTCAAACATTAGCATAGCTCGAGGGAGACTTTGCCTGTCTGAAGCAACCTTGTGGCTCAATGTTCTGCACAGCAATAATAATAAAAGCTCCACAGGCAGCTGATCAGTGTCTGCAACTGCCAACCTAGTTAAAGGATGGGCAGCATATTTTTTGCCTGTTTTCCACATAATACACAGCTGCAGAAAAATGTTCAATAAATTCTATGATTGCCTGTGTGTGCACGGTTCTGGGCAGACAGTGAACAGCAAGGACTGGGTTCAGTCAGAAAGTGCCAGCAATGGAAACAGCAAGAACCATGCCCCAGAAGATTTCATCAAGAGTGGAGATCCTGCAGATCAGTGTGGTGTACTAATGGTAACTGGAGGGTTACAGACTCAGATTTGTCATTAAAATAGCCAGTTAGAAAGCGCTGCACTTGGCATCCCAATGTGTCCAAAATCATATTAATAAATAAGGAAACAACCCCTACAAGTCCCTGGTCAGTTGCTGATGTAGCAGGTTGCTATAATTGGCCGGGTTAGGGAGGGACAAGCTATCTGGAGGCCGTTGTACGTTTAGACATTGGATCAGGACAGCATCAAGTTCAGCAGTGATGACGGTGCGGTTGAATACCTGACCGGCCATTGACGCTCACTGTCACTCAATTGTCACGGCTCATACAGAAAGCGCAGTGGCTAGGGTTAGGTGCCCGGCACCCACTGAATTGTACCCAGTGAAAGGGAAAAGGATCCAAATGCTTTGCTTTACCCTAAGAGAGAGGTGAGACATTCAGCGAGGAGATAACAAGCCATTCAAAAAGGAAAATTGGTAATGAGGGCTGCATTGTTTTAGATAAATAATACTACTCATCGTTAAGGTCAAGACAGATAGAGAGAGTAACCATCACAGCCTCATACTGAAATATTTCAGAAGTTTTGACTGGGAAAGTTACACCCAACAACAAAATTAATTGCTGTATCAAAGTAGTTGCAAAGTGGGCTGAGATATAGACTCTTCAAACAGCCCCATCTGGTGTTATGGCTGAGTATTACCAGCATGTGCAAGTAAACACTAGCATTGATGTGAATTAAGTGGTAATAAGCATTCACATGGAAATTTCTTTCTTGGAAATGCAATAATCTGACACTCCCTTGCCGAGCTGGGGGAGCGCTGGATTGTTGGAGATGCCATCCTTTGGATGAGGCGTTAAAAAAAACCCATCCCATCTGCCTGTTCAAATGGGCATGGACATGGCACTACTCTAAAATAGAAAGGGGTTTCTCCTGGTGTCCTGACCATTACTGGTCCTTCTCTTTTCAAATAGTATACTGGGATCATTAATGTCGACCTGAAGAACAAGCACATTAGACATCAGTTGGACCATTTCGCCCACAAAATATACAATCAATTCACTTTATAGTATATTCTGTGAAGTGCTTTGAGACGTCTCAAAGACGTGATAAGGCGCTATATGAAATGCAAGGATTATTATTTTATAACATTTCATCCAAAGGATAGCACCTCTGATAATAGCATTATCAGCGGTGCTATCCTTTGGATGAAACATCATAATAAAATAATAACCCTTTATTATAGCCCCCCCACCCCTGGTACTGGAGTGTTGCCCTGGAAATGAATTCAACTCTATCATGTGACTTCAATCCACAACCTTCTTATCCAAAGGTGAGAATGGAACCAGCTGATCCAAGTTGGCACCATCCAGTTACTGAGAAATCTTCATTACAGTGCGCCGAGTGATCAGGTTCCTTTGTAGGAGTGCACAGGCCAAGTTCCCGGTGCTATTGTGAATTGAGAAATAACTTGACCTCAGAATTATTTGCACAGTGGGACGGAAACTGATCAGCTCTTGAGGCTGCTGAGCAGACAACACCTCTGGGGCAAGTAGTCCAGTGGTGCTGATTTGTGGAACCACAACCTATGACAAGAATGTCATCACTGTTCCATAAAATTTCAGGCAACTGTTAGTAAATTTCATGAGTGACAGTTCTTGTAAAATAGGTGAAACGCTGGTCTGTGATCAAGCAGATAGCCTCAGAGACTAACCAGTAGATGGGCATTTATGGCTGTGCAGATGGAGCATTCTCAAAAGCAGTGTAAATCTAACATGATGTCTCACTGATCTCTCAGTGTCTGAGAATGTGCACCACTAAAAGAAAAAAATAACACTTAACTATCACACATACCACACACAAAAAATGTTGCACCCATTCTAGTTTTATTTGTTCTTGCGAATAGCTGATTCTATCTGCTCTGCCACCCCCACCCCACCCCACCCCTGAAAAATATAATTTCCTCCCATTCTGAATCATGCGGTTTTCTTAGTTTAGTTAGACCATGTCTTTGTAAGGCTATATTAAAAACAAAATTCTCCTTTTATAAATTAGCCATCGTGGCATCGTGAAGGGAGTTTCTCCAGGTGTCCTGGACAACATTCCCCCAAGTAAAATTAGTTGTTCATTTCATGGCTGTTTTGGGGCCATTGCTGTGTGCAAATGAGCTGAGGTGTTTGCCTACAAAATACATAATCATTCCACTTATACTTTGCACAAGTTTCCACCCTCCTAATACCCTCTCTTATACCAATTTCCCTCAAGTTTCCACTTAAGTGTGTTGATGCTTTTTGCTTCAACCACAGCTTCCGGTAGTGAGTTCCACATTCTCACCACACTCTGTGTAAAGAAGTTCCTTTTAAAGTTGTGTTTACAGCTACTGACTATCTTACATTTATACATTTATACCCTCTCATTTTAGACTCACTAACAAAGTGGAAATAGACTATTAATGTCCACCTTATCAAATCCTTTCATAATCATAAACATCTCTATCAGACCCCTTTTCAAGCATCTCCAGATTGAAAAGCTCCAATCTGTCCGATCTTTCTTGATTACCGTATCCACTCATCCCTGGTAAAATCCATGTCAATCTGCTCTGCACTCTCCCAATGCTACAATTTCCTTCTTGTATATAAACTGTGAACACAACAGCTGCTGCAGCTAAACTCAAGGTTCTTCATGAGCCTAAAAATCCCACTGAAAAGCTATGAAGATTCACACAATGTTTTTGCTGTCGATGGAATACTCCCAAATCATGTTGTCATCTGGAACTTCTTATTTTTCCATTCCAAGGAACCACAGGGGTTTGCTTCAGTGAACAGTCGATTATGGCTGCATATGCTGTGCAAAAAATACCAGAGAAAAAATGTGACTCTGGTGTGATCGCAGCTCTAGCCTATATAAAGCAGCAAATAATAATATTGTAATGAACAATTAATTCAAAAAGAGTACATTAATATCAAAAGCATAAATCATTTGGAAAACATTTGTCAATAGATATTCAAACAGGACAATCACTGAACTGGCATTTATATCCAAGTTTTTTTTAACAGTTTTTTTTAACACATCAACCCAGTCTGCTATATCTCTTTCAGCTTCAGCTAGTGCTGTACATGTGGGGCGTGTGGGTTAGCAACAAACAAACGCAATACAGTACTTTTTTTTAATATTAAATGCCCAGATCAAACAAATTCTGTTGCAAAACACCTTTACAGTCATGTTCAGTTACAGTGTTGATGGCAGACTTGCTTGCCACTCATTTATTTAC